CACAACATCCACATCTATTTCTGCTATATTTCTTGTAGTGCATTGAGAATAACTTTCAGTTCAGCAAGATAGCTCGACTTGATATTTTCTGAACTATCACTCTTTCTTGTACTCTCTCCAATAGGCCACTAGACGAAGACACCACAACAACTATTCTTGAAGGACTTGTCTGACGAAACATGAATCTGTTTGGCTTGTCTATGATTCTGCTGGATGGTCTTTTCTACAATTTTGCTTAGTGTGGCCATAATCGTGTTCCTTCAAGCAAAGTTCCAAAAAGAAGAGCGCGAGAAGATTTATTAAAAGCAAATGGGTTCAGGTGGAAGAATTACTGGGCATTCAAACTTCTTCACACATTTCTATCCTCCTAACGTCATCAAGTCCTTCCATTTCTTCAGTAACCTTTACATATCTTTCAAAACAGGATGATGATTTTAGCTTTGATTTGTTTTTGTTTTTTCAGTTTCTGAACAGACCTGATCAGTGATGACATTCAGATAGGGAACAAAGATGATGTCCCTACTGAAATAGCTGTTTGTTTATACAGTTTTCAGTTTGAACATCAGACTCTTGTTCATAAATTGTTGGAATGGATCCCACTGCTCCAGTTATTGTGTGAACTGCAGACGGCTGCACAATGTTGATCTTAGCAAGATTACTGGGAGCAGTATGTGACCAGAAAAATTAGGCATATTAAGTATGCATATTAAGACAAACTATTGAGTGGTATTCAGAGTCCTAACACCTGAACCCCACTGGACTCGACAATCTCTGCTTTAGTTGCCATCTGTCTGACTTGTGATCCAAACCTTAGTTCAGTGTCCAAGGTCACTGCAAGATATATACCAGGTTCCTCTCAATGGCAACACCTTCTGCAATATCAATTTTGGACTGTCGTTGAACCTCCTATAATCTGTGGTAAAGTAGGTGGACTTCATTTTTGCTGTGTTTGGCTGGAATTTATGTACATTTGCCCATCTACTTACAATTTCCAAGTCTTCATTCAGGTCACTCTCTAGTACATCTATTTCACACCCCTTGATACAAGGTGGCCTGATAGTCTAGAGGAGAACAGCATGAAAAGAAGATGACTTACAACTGAGCCCCGAGGAACTCCAGCCCTGTGTGTGGCCTTGACTTCAAAAAAGTGCCATTTAGTCTTACTGTTATCTTCTTATATCATTGGAAAAATCTCTTATCCAAAGGTATGTTCTACCACACATTCCTATCTTAGTGAGTTTCGCTAAGACCTTATCATGCCAAACTCTTTCAAATGCCACACTGAGATCCAAAATGACTCCTATTAATGACTATAGTGGCTTTTGTTGGACTCCGTCAATAACAGACTGACACAAGGCCACCAGTAGGTCTATAATTTGAGTGCAAGGGCCTCTAAGCTATTTGGATAGGTTCTGTTTTCCCTTTTTTTAAATCTCCCCCCCCCCCTAGAATTGTACCATTCTTTCCATTATTTTGCAAAGATGACAGGTTACAGATACAGGCTGATAGCTGCCCAGAGAAGAGGGATGGAAGCTGATTGCTATGAACCCTGTAAGTACATGTGGGTCTAATATGCATGATGGAGTCTAATCCGGCTCATTGTATTTTTGCATAATTAGAGAAAGAGTTAAATTTGGCTTGTAAAATAAGGCAAACTGGCAATAATGAAAAATTAAGAGAAGCAGTTCAGTTACATGCTGGTGATGTGAAAGAAATTGGCTATAAAAAGGATTGTTATAAGGTGGGCCAGGACAGAGTATCACAAGTATCTAGTGAAATCCCTCCCGCACAATCCAGTTTGGGAAATAGGGGGACACGAAACTTTGAAGGAGCAAAGCTTGGAGGTACAAGGATCAGCCCCACCGTTTTTATTTATGTCTGGGAATATAAACAAGGATCATGGGAGTTTGGCTACTGAGTGTATTATAGGATCTGTGAAATGCATAGGAATAGTGGGCACTGGCTCAAACCTAACTATTATTAGACCAGACAGGCTAAAAATGCGAAGGAATAGGGGAGCCAAAATTTGAACCAGCTAATTAGTCTCAAATGGAGACAGTGACGGGGAATTTGCACCCATCCAAAAATGAGGAAAATTGGGTTTGAAAATTGGACCTCTGGAATTTTAGCAGGAAGTCTGGATAGCTGAGATGGTGGATGAGGTAATAATTGGTTTGGATTTAATTATGCCTAATAACTGTGTAATGAATGCCAGGAAAAGTGTCCTATAAATTCAGTCTGTGAAAATTCCCTTGAAAAAATTGGCTCACGTTTAAAAAAAATAACTTGTAGGCAACTGGTTTGCAGTGAACAACTTATTCTGGATTCTGCCCCTGAATACATGAAAACAGCTACATATTATTACTATTTTCCAGTATAGGAAAGATGAGAAGTGCTTGAGACGCAGGTTCTTGGCAGGAATTTTAGTGGCTAAAGTGCTTGTGGATCTGAAAAAGAGATGGATTCCTGTTTGTTTGTTGAATGTTTCTGGCAAACAGTAAACAAGGGAACCACAGCTGCAAAATGTGAACCAGGGGACCTAGTAAATGATGATATAAAAGCAAGTATAAGGGTGGAAGTGAGGTCCCAAAGCTTCTACTCATCTTGTTTCGGTGCTGTACATTTAAAGGAGGGGCAGCAGAACAATCTAAGACTTTCTGGTTGGGTATCAGGAGGTGTTCTCCTGGTCCAACAACAATGTAGGTTGGACTGTACTAGACTAAAATTGATACTGTGAAAGACCAGCCCATTAAACAACCCCCTCACCATTTAGTTATAGCAGAGGGAAGAAGCTATACAGGTTTTAGAATCTATTAATTTTAATAGGAGCTGAGTCAGGTCTTTTGTTAAGCCTGAGTTTACAGGACTCTCCTCTGGCAGAGATGAGGACCCTCTCAAGAGGCACTTTCTAGGGTAGCTTGGTCCCAGCCCATAGAGGGCCTTGATTGACCTGACCCAGCACCTGTATATTAAAAATTGTCCCAATTGCTTTTTGGGGCTAAAGCCACACATTACATTTTAAAATACGTACGTTAAGACACTAGTATTATCCGACGTGTAGCTGGTTTTAGAACCCAGTGGAGCGTGTATTGTAAATTAGCAACATTATTTCTTAGCACCTTTCTATATGTTTAAGTACAGGCTGATTATATGGCTTTTGTTTCTTGTTGCAGGACAATTTCCTGATAAGCAAAACATCTGATTCTCACTGGTGCAAATCCTTGTAGCTCCCTGAAAGTCAATGCAGCTATGTCCATTCCCATTTGCTGAGGATTTGGTCTAAAATATAGAATTTGAAAAGTAATTGTTTGTAAAACCCCATGTGGTCACATCTTTGTTTCTCTGGCTTGTCTGCCGTGAGATTAAAAAACTGAAGCAGAGTGTTTTTCACTAAATCAATAAAAAACAAAAATAGCTTAAACCCATTCCAGGCAGCTGTCTCAGAGGGTGTGACAGCAGCTAGCTGCCCCACCAGCCTTCTGGAAAGAATGTGTGTTTTTGTTTCTTTAATGCCTGTTGGGTTTACTGGCTGAATGCACTTCTGATCTGTGAGCAGGTTCTTCAGCCTGGGGTTAGTCTTAAGGTGATGTGTAAAAGCCACTAAGGCGAACGGGGTTAAGCTCTTCTATTGGATCAACCTTCTTTCTCCTGCTTCAAACCCTTTAGTGAAACTACCCTAAATTGTTAAAAACAGATTAGTACATGGAATCTGGATGATTTCAGCTTCCGTGGCAGGGGGCTCAGCTACAGTGGTTGCAACTGAATGCTGCCAACCATTTAGGTTATTGCCTGAGGCCTTGGACCACCTGCATTGCACCTTTGGGCAAATTCAGTGTGATTACCCTAAAGATCTCCTGCTACTTTCCGCTTCCCAGTCTTTACTCCCAGCAATGACTGTGTTCTGGCAGCAGACTGACTGTGATGAACTTTTCCTTAAAATAATGAAAGACCATTGTTCTGCCTAGAGACGTGTTGGGCCTTTATCTATGCCTCACCTATCGCCGTGCGCAGAGGACGAGGTGTAGGGCTCTCCCAAAGCTGTGTGATCTCTCACGAAGTATAAGCTATGAACAGTGTATCTTAGGTAATATTGAAGTGTGAAGCTTACCAAGGATATTATAATACTACCCAATGGTTTATACCAAGCAGTACATTGGATGTATTCTTCGGGAGAATTTTAATTTTATTAGAATTATTAATTATTTGTATTAAAGTAATGCTTAGATGCTTTAACTAAGATCAGAGCCCAGCTGATGTAGGCTCTGTGGAAACACACAGCGAGGGACACTCCCTGCCCTAAAGTTTTCAGTTTAAATAGACAAGTCAGGCAACGGGTGAGAGAGGAAGTGACTTTCCCGAGACACACCAGCATCAGTGGCAGAGCCAGGAATAGAATCCAGGTTTCCAGAGTCCCAGTCCAATGCATTATCCACTAGACAATGCTGCTTTAAAAAAAGTTTGAGAGACAGGTTTTGACACAGAAATTATTGGATGAGGTTCTTTAGCCTGTTATGCAGGAGGTCAGACTAAATGGTCCCTTCCGGCCTTAAAATCTATGGATCTATGAAAATGAAAAGATTTTTAAAATTAATATTAAGCCTCATTTACTATTCAAAACCATGAGAGTCGGGTGGTTTTGAGTAGACAGTTGTCTCCCAACTTATCCATGGGAATAGGAAATGCCCATGTTCAGAAATTTCATACCAGTTCCCAGGCTAGTCAGCATACAGTATATGTTCATCCCTGTAGCGTGGTGGTCACCTCGCTCCAGTCAGAAAGGGGTTAAAAGCAGCCAAGGGAGGCTGGTTGGGGAGTCAGCCACAGGTGTGGTTGCACCCAATTAGGGCACGGCTGGTCCTGATAAAAGGGCAGGCTGAGAGAGTGGGAGAAGAGACTCTTGCTCCAACTGAGGAGCAGAGAGGACCAGGCTGCCTGGGAGAGCAAGCAGGGTACCTGGGGCAGAGCAGGGCTGGGGAAGGACAGGCAGAGCTGAGGAGCTCTGGCCTGGGGAGTTCCCAGGCTGAGGCCTTGCTAAAGGCCAGGGGAGGTACTAGGGCTGCAGGGAGGCAGCTGGGGCTAGAAAGGCAGTAGGTCCAACCCCCTTGCCAGTGATGAGTGGCCCTTAAAGACTGCTGTTTGCACCTGAGAGAAGGGTCTAGATGATGACTCGCAGTAGTCACTGAGGTGAGGTGGGTATAGGGGGTTGGGGTTCCCCTGGGAGGGGAGACCCAGACCCCTGGGGGCACTGCTGTGGGGTAACACCCCAAAGTAAGGGACACTGGGGTCCAGGAGGGACGCAGGGCCTGAAGTGTTACAAGTGGTGGAGATTCACAGGAAGCAGGTACTGGTAGGAAGATACCGGCCAGCAGGAGGTGCTCCGAGGCTGGAATCGAGCTAATTCACGGACGACCAGCAGGAGGCGCTGCACCAGTGAGTCGGTGCTTTGCGATAATCCTATCCAGTATTTTCTTTCTTTTGGCCATCAATATCATATTGATTAAATATTAACCATAAATAATGGTGGGTGCTAGATGGAAAGCTTAAAGTAGATACAAATAGTTCAACTTTTTGGAAAAAAATAATAATTGAAAAGGTTCCAAAGGGATAGAAGAGTAATTACAAATGTGAAGGAAGTGGGTGAATTTAGAACTGAATCTTCCTTCTTTGGGCATGGTTTTCTTCTTCTCAAAGTAGTCCACCCTGCACTAGAATAAAAACTGTACCATCCGTGATGATGTTTAAATGTAGCTGTTGCTAGCAAGGGTATAATATAGTTTCCCTTTCTAGTGTTAATGGGGATTTTTTGGTTTAGAATTTTGTTACAAAATCATGCTATAAACTACCTGTTGGATCTGTAAAGCCTTACAATTGATTAATTAGATCCTGATCCTTTTTATTTGTTTGTAAATGCTGAAAGGCCACAACTAGATCTGATCAAAAAAAAAATTTGGAGGAAACTTTTTATGCTGAAAAATGCAGATTTGGGTCAACTGAAACATTTTGCGAATGTGTGTCAGATTCACCAATTTGTTCTCATAAAAAATCCTAAAATAAAATTTAAAAAAAATGAAATTTTAGTTTAACGTTTTGAAAATAAAGTTTTGATTTTTCAATTCAAAACACCTTTTGTTGTTCAAATACTTCATTTGACCCAAAATGAATTTTAAAAATTTTCAGTTAATCAAATATTTGAAATTTTTTCATTTCAGGTCAATGTGAAATGAGTGTAGACATGTAAAGGGGAGGAGGGGAATTTTATTTTGTTGTTGTTGTTGTTGGTTGGCCAGCAAACTAAAAAAATCAGTTATTTGCACAGCATTAGCTCCAACTGTGCAAGGCACTGTACAAAACACATAGTAACAGAAAACCCCAGAGAGCTTGTTTCAACCTAAACAGACAAGGCAGATGGAGGGAGGGGAAACAGAGAAGTGATTTGCTTAAGGTGTCACAGCAAGTCAGTGCCAGCGGCAGGAACAGAACCTGTCTCTTAAGTCAGAGTCTAGAACAGGGGTTCTCAAACTGGGGGTTGGGACCCCTCAGGGAGTCACAAGGTTATTACATTGGGGGTCATGAGCTGTCAGCCTCCACCCCAAGCCCTGCTTCACCTCCAGCATTCATAATACTGTTAAATATAAAAAAATGTTTTTAATTTATAAGGGGGAGGGGTCACACTCAGAGGCTTGCTGTGTGAAAGGGGTCATCAATACAAAAGTTTGAGAACCACTGGTCTAGAATCATTAGTCACAGGACCATCTTCTCAATCAATGCTACACGGGTGAATCTCTCTGCCCATGCAGAGCTCCATTGTTTTTTTTAATTGTGGTCTACCATAAGATGTCTTTTTTCCTCTTGCAAAAATAAATAAATAAAAAATTTAAAAGGTTAGAAACAGGTTCAAGCCACAAAACTTCAGCCTGGGATTCAGATTTCTAAAACAACCCTGCCCAGAGTCCAGAGCATTTTGGCTCATTGCATTGGGGAAGTGTGGCGGGGGGAGGTAAAATACTTTTGTCTGATGTTTTTCAATATACATCCCACTCTAATTTTAATATTTCTTGGCTACTACAGACCTGGTCTTCTGACCTCCTTTGCCGTTCCAATGATCTTTGAAGCCTTATCTTCTAGAGGCAAAGCAAACAATGCTCAAGAGAAACTGCGACTAACTTTGAAAGCAGAAATCCCTGAAGTTGCTATTGCCCTTGGAACCTTTGCATATGATTATGCTATGCTTCTCTGCTGGAGTTTTGTTTGATGGTGGTTGGACGGAAACATTTTTGGGCAGGTCCTTGGAAAAACAAAGGGAAAAGAGGTTTTTAAAGCAGTTATGTGAAAGTCGGCAATGAAAATACATTCAACTGAACAGAACCTACAGATATAATCTTGTGCATCTGGAATGAAGGGGAAAACACAGACATTCCTCATGTTCAACTGAGTTCACTCAAGGAAAGATACAGACCGAAACTGTGCTTAGTTCTAGTGCTAATTTATGCTGCAGTAGTACAATACAAATGGCTGTATGTTGAAAATGTAGCAAAATTGTAGTAGGTTACAATCAAATATTTTCAACCTAATGGTTAATTGCTATTTATGACATCTGATGGTACATCATATAATTGTACAGAAAAGGTATTTATTACAAGATTTTTTTCTCCTTTGTTCTCGTTATCCATAGTGAATACAAAACATTTGCAAAATGCTTATAAGGTCAGCCTGAGCATCTAAATGTGTACAACATTACAATAAGCCATCCAGAGCACAAGATGAAAGTTCCATTTCACAAAGGATGTGAGATTTTGAAATTTGGCTTCTTTCTGAATTAAACCTGAACACTTCAAAATTCTGGAAAATTCTGAAGAAAGGAAAACTATTTCAGGTCAATCACAACATTTTGTTTCAACAAAATTGAAATATTTTTGTTGACTTTTTAAAATTTGTGTGTGTGTGTGTGTGTAATACAAAACAAAGTTGCTTAAAAACATCAAAACATTTTGTTCTGAAAATATTGAAATGGGGTACGTTGAAACTGTCAAACTTTTCCCCCCCCATTTTCTTCCGAAACAAAATTTGGGTGAAATTTACCTGATTTAGTGAAGTGTTTCAGTTTCTATGGAATTGCATATTCTGATAGAACATGGTTCTGTTGAAGTTTCTCCAGCCAGCACTAATTTTATAACCTCTTGTAAATGTGATGGAGAGAGAATATACAAATAAGTGGAGAGAGTAAAGATTTTATCTGCATAGGTTTTCAGCCATTGGCAAGAAATGTTATTTCTGCTCCTGTTTCTGTATTTTTTTTCCCTGTTCCTATGTATACTAGGATAGCTTATAAAATTATCCTTCCATATTATTTCAGATAAGGTTTGGTACGTAGTCAGAGGTCCCTAGATAGGCAAACTCTCATTGTCTTCAATGGAGAATTTCTTGATTTAGCCCAATATTTTTGCTCATGTGTGCATATGGTTAAGGTCATTTTGACATGAGAATACTATAGCTGTGTGTATACTCATGCCCATCAAATACTTTTTTTTTAAAATTTGGTTTGATCATTAGATTTATGAGAACACAGGAGGAAATACTGGACAACAAACGTTGTAATCTTGCATGGTCCAAGTTCTGCTCTGAATCACGAGGTGGAGGGTAAGTCCTATTGACCTCAATACAAGTTGCACCCACATACCAGAACACAGTTTGGCATGTTACATATTTTAAACCACTTCTGAAAATTCTCCCCATGACTACCAGGACACTGCATTCGTTTGTTTTTGCAATATTAACAACTTCTGGCAAGTGGAGAGAAACCAGTCTTGATAAAGAATATGAGTTAAACTGTAACAGAGCTAATGTACAAGTAGTGTAGTGGCTGGGACTTCACTGTAAGGGAATGTCTACACTGCAATGTAGGGTTAGTGGGACTTGAGCCAGCTATTGAGGAGGGCCTGGAAAATATGTCCTTCCCTGCAGTGTGACTAGGTATCTGGAGTTCCTGCTTCAGGAAGAGTTTGCAGCTATCAGCAACCAGGATTGGGTCAGAATCCATGAGGGAATTAATAGGATGGTTCATTGGCACATATATTAGATCCCCGGTTATAGCTGCATGGAAAAACACGGAACTCAACAACTTTCCTCCTCCCTAAACCCTGCACAGTTCTGGACAAAAAATGACACTCCAATTATACTTGGGAGAAACAATTTTGTGACCTGTAGACTCCATGGACTACCTCTAAATGAAATGGACTAGATTTGGAAATAGAAGATTGTTTCCCAAATGCACATACTGAGTTCTGTGTTTCCAGGTGGCTCTATAGACCATTGAGTGATTACAGAGTGACAAATGTCAAGCCTTTATTAGTGAAAGGAAAACATGCCTGACCCTAGCAAACATCTGTGACTTTACAGAGAACAAAGAAATCTTTAAGGCTGTTTTCTAAATGTTTAAAATTCCCAGTTGCCATTTTGAACTCCACGTGGTAAGGGGGAGGGAAGACACCGAGGTGCTGTGATACAATCCACCATTAGCAGATAGATGCTGAGAGCAGGGGCTTCTCCTAACTTTTGCATTGCTTCTTAGAGCCGAAATCTCTCTCATTACAGTAATAATAAACACTAATTTGGAGTCAGAAACTGACTAGGCTGTGGGGTGGCTTCTGTTTCCACTGGGTTTGTTGCAGGCTCAGCAGCAAGGTGTTCCTCCGGGGGCTCACAGGGGAGGTATGGAGCAGCTCTTCTGAATAGGAGCCTAGAATTTGTGGCTGATCCTGATCTGCAGCCTGCTCTGGGACTGTTTTCATAACTAGAGTCACTTCAGGATCCCTACTCAGAGCCTGCAGCTGGTTCCCATCACTCTGCATGCTGGATTCAGGGGCTAGCAAGGCAGCATCCCAACTGACCAGGTCACCATGAACCATGGTTTTCTCCATGCTGGGCACAGGGCCCAGCACTCGGTCAAACTCCTCTGTAGTGGGGCAGCTGCCCCACTCCAAGGTAAAAGGGATTAAGAGCAGCTGAGGGAGGCTGGTGAGGTAGTCGGCCCCAGGTGTGGCTGGCTTAATCAGGCCACAGCTAGCCTGGATAAAAGGGTTGTGGGGCCAGGAGACAGAGAAGTCTCACTCTAGCCCTGGAGTGGGAAGGGCTGCCTGCCTGGGAGTAAGGTACCCAAAGCAGAGCAGTGCTGGGGGAAAGGGCAAGAGGAGCTGGGGCGCTCTGCCTGGCAACTCCCCAGGCTGAGGCCTTGTTAAAGGCCCCAAAAGGTACTGGGTCTGCAGAGGGGCAGCCCGGGAATAGGCAGAGGCAGCAGGTCCTACCTCCTTGCCAATGATGAGTGGCCATTATAGACTGCAGTCTGCCCCAGGGAAAGGGGGCTAGGTGATGACTGGCAGTAGCCACTGAGGCAAGGTGGGCTTAGAGGGTTGGGGGTTCCTCTGGGAGGGGAGATCTAGAGCACAGGGTACTGCTGGGGCAGAACCGCGAGGTACAGGGGCACCGGGGTCTGTAAGGGACACAGGACCTGAGGCAGGCGAGACACTGTCCAGCAGAGGGCGCTCCAGAGCTGGAGTTGAGCTAATTCCCAGGACAGCCAGCAGGAGGCGCCACACCGGTGAGTCTTTGCTCTGCTGCATCCTCATAAAATGGGCATGATGTTGGCGAGTTGCCCAAGGTGTGGCTCTTCTTCCTGGTCTTCCAGTACTCACTCTTCAGCCTCTTACTATGCTCCCTGCACTGATCATCAGTCCAGAAAATCTGCAAAGCTGTCAGCTTTTTCGCTATCTGCTGGTACGCTTGGTCATGCCTGGTGCTTTTGCTGAAGTTCACGGTTTTACTGGCCTTGCACCAGTCATTCATCCTCACATGATCAGGAAGCAGCTCATTTTGCAAAAGGCTTGCTCGGTTCGGTCTCCATTGCAAAGCGAGGAGACTCTCCGAAGGTGTGCTTGCAGCTCAGTGATCAGAAGACAATGGGTTAATGTTGACTCACTGAGCTTCTGAAATACGCCTAGGGGAGGGTGGCTTCCATTTTCTATTGAGTCAACTGGCGATTGTTGGGACAGAGAGGGCTCAGGAAGTTGGCCCATGAAATTGTGGGATGCTTAGAGTGAACTCACAGGACATAAGTCGAGTGGCGGTGCATCTACACTGCAAAGCAATAGGGCTTGAACCCTGGGTCCCAGCTTGACTTCTGCTCAGACCCTGCAACACTGCTGTGTCCTGAGCCCCGGGATTTGCGCAATTTCAGTGTAGACGCAAGGCGGGGGGGTTAGGCTTGAGCCCGAACTTAAGCTCAGGTTTACAGTGTGAGTGGGAGAGAAAGTTTCTCTTACAATCAGCCTAGTTCATTGTGTCTGTATATGCACAGGGACCAGCATCCTCCTTGCCCTGGGGGTGCTCAACCCCTGCTCTGCCCTAAGCCCTGTCCCCAGTCCACCCCTTACGCTAGCCTCCACCCCATTGCACCCCCTCACCCGAGCACGCCCTGTCCCCGCTTCTCTTCTTCCCCTCCCAGCGCCTTCTGCATGCCACAGAACAGCTGATCATGGCAGGCAGGAGGCGCTGGGAGGGTGAGGGAGGAGTTGATCAGCGGGGCCGCTGGCAGGTGATAGGTGCTGGGGGAAGGGGGGCACCAGCTGCCAGTGGGTGCTAAGCACCCGCTAATTTTTTTCTGTGGGTGCTCCAGGGCTGCTATTTACAGCAATACCCAATCATTCACTTCCATGTCTGGGTACAAAAGAGGGAGCAGAGAAGTGTAGTGGGGAAGAAAATGGTTTTAAAAAATGATTAGATACATGGCATCAGGTTTGAAAAAAATAGTATCAGGTGGGAAGATCAGTCACAAACACAAGGGACAGCATGAGATTTCTGCAGATCCGTTTAGATTTTATTTTGTTTTTTTCTGTTAAGTGTATATGTTCCTCTAATGTGACCATTTACTTTCTTACCTAAGAGCAACTTTGATAATTTGGTGTCCCATGTGTGTCAGGACAAAACAAGCTGTAGCCATTCTTAGGACATGCTGTGTGTCCTGTTTAAAATAGCATCTCACTGGGGATTTAATTGCTTCCGAGTTCATAAATGTTTCTGTGGTCATTTAAGGCTGTAGTAAAAGTCACTGCCATTTTCATTTTTAAGGATGGAGTTTCAGATTAATGCTGATTTAGGGCTGGATGAACAAATTCAGAAACTAATTAGTATCCCTGTAAACCTTTGCCCATTTCTAGAACCAAACGATGGCTTTTGGAATATTCTTATATATTCTGTTAATTCCATTTTCACCTCCATCTGAGTTTTCACTAGGTCCAGAATTTTGCATGCTGAAATAATATAGGCCATGGGACTATGGGATATTCTGATGTGGTGTGTCTTGATCTCTCCTTTTGAAGCTATTCCCCTGTGTGTATATATGCATTGTTCTAGAAAGCAAGTGAGAATAACTCTATAGTCCAGTGATCCAGGCATTCACTTGAGAGGTGGAAAACCCATATTTAAATCCCTTCTTATCAGGCAGAGGGGGGAGTTGAACTGTCTCAGGTGACTGGCTTAAACACTTCTAGGAACAAAGAATGAAGGCTATACTTACAGGTCAGGGCGGTCTATCCCGGGAAGCAGTGACTCTGAAAAAGATTTGGGGACATAGTGGATAATTAGCTGAACATAGGCTCCAAATGTGATGCTGTGGCCAACAGAGCTAACGTGATCCTGGGATGCATAAACAGGGGAATCAAGACTAGGAACAGACCGGTTATTTTACCTCTATATTTGGCACTAGTGTGACCACTGGTGGAATACTGTGTCCAGTTCTGGTGCTCACAATTCAAGAAGAATGTTGACATATTGGCAAAGGTTCAGAGAAGAGCCACAAGAATGATTCAAGGATTAGAAGACATGCTGTATGATGATACTCAAAGAGCTTTGTTAAGCTAAATAAATTTAAGAGACGATTATAGGCAGTAATCAAGTCACTCCTTACTCTATAGCAGGGGTCGGCAACCTTTCAGAAGTGGTGTGCCAAGTCTTCATTTATTCATTCTAATTTAAGGTTTCGTGTGCCAGTCATACATTCTAACATTTTTAGAAGGTCTCTTTCTATAAGTCTATATTATATAACTAAACTATTGTATGTAAAGTAAACAAGGTTTTCAAAATGTTTAAGAAGCGTCATTTAAAATTAAAATAAAATGCTGATCTTACACCACCAGCCTGCTCAGCTCGCTGCCAGCCTGGAGTTCTGTTCACCTAGGCCGGCAGAGGACTGATCAGGGACTGTGGCCGGGACCCCAGACCTGGGGGGGGGATGTTTCAGGGGTCAGGGCAGAGGGCTGGGGGAGGGGTTCAGGGGCAGGAGGGCTGGGGTGGTGGGGAGGGGTTCGAGGGGCGAGGAGGGGACGGGGCGTGGTGGGGGGTTCAGGGGCGAGGAGGG